AACCAAATGGGTGCATTTTGTAACTCTCATTCATAATTTGATCAGACATTGTGTGTGTGTGTGTGTGTTGTGTGTGTGTCAGGGAGTTGTTTTGGCTGAGGTAATGCCTGAGATGTGTGTGGTTAAGATGTGTGAATCTGCTTCCCTCCTGGTCCTGAGCTTTTTGAATGAAGGGCAATGAGATGTGACTTAGACCGTCTGTCCCAGCTTGCTTATTTAACTCGGGGCATCAGAACAGCGGGGACGCTGGCCAGTAAGTTGTGGACAGACCCCTCCGTTCACACAGTGACACTGAAGCTGTGTGACAGCCAGGCGCGCAAACACTCATGGACGTGCACATTGACAACAAGTGATCGTTCATTGTTGTAGAGACATATTATGTCAAATATAAATGCACCACAGTTTACGGGGATTGTCTAGGGCAAGAGTCTTTGTCCACACCCCTGAGGAGGAGTGAGCTGAGCCTGTTGGAGAGGCAAGGTATTACTTCCAGGTCATGTGATCCTTTGTCAGAAACAAGCAGAAAGGGAACGTCAGCCAGTTTGCATTCTTGCATTTATTCCCCTTTCCTTTTTGGGGGGGGCGGGGGGGGTAGAAGTGTCAAATTCGGGTGTCAAACACCCATCCAGAGTAGTAAAAGGTGTCACATTTCTTTTTTGTTGGCTGCTTCCACACGAGATGAACAGCTCACGCTTTCTGCCTGGATTGACCATCATCCTCCCTGCTCAGTTATAACTGCAACCTTGTTTCTTCTAATCTCTAATATAATCTGAAGACAAAGACATAAAATTAAAAGTACAAATTACTTATGAAATTGATGACTGTGTGAAAATCATTGATGGTGATCAAGTATGAGGCATCTTGCCAGCTGTTCAGTTAGTGAAACTTATCTCCAGTTTCTGCACTGTGGTTGCTGTTTTAGTATCAGGCATCTGTGGCAGCAGTCATTGCTCTTTATGGGTTTTCTTACATATTTTTTCTCATGATGCATTATTTTGGGCTGTAAGTAACAAACAATTATTTCATGATTAATGAATCAGGTGATTATTTTTTCAAGTGATTGATTAATGGTTTTGTCCATAAATGTCAGAGAATAGCGAGACATGCTCATCATGTTCAATACGACCTCTTCAGATGTCTTGTTTTGTCTGACCAACAGTGTAAAACCCAATGATATTCAGCTCACTATCATAAAAGACTAAGACCAAACAAGACTAAACCAAAATATTCACATTTAGGAAGCTGAAATCAGTGAATTTTGGGTACTTTTGCTTTAAAAAAAATGATATAGTATGTAATAATTATGTAATAGATTATCAAAATTAATACTGAACATATGTCCTGGGCAAACCTGAATGAAAACACTGTAGCGGCCACTTCAAATCTGCAACAAACGTAATGCTACAGATGCAAAATATTTATTTTCCTGAGAGAGACAAAATACAGTGTTCATTTTTTCAGTGGTCATTTAGCAGCTTGTAGCAAGTCTTTGTGCATCAAAGTGTAGAGTAAGACTCATGCGTCCAGAAGAGGAAGGGCCACATTAGACCTTGGCTTACTCATCTGGACAGGATGTGGTTGTGACACACACACACACACACACACACAACACGCACACACGCACGCACACAGCACGCACGCACGCGCGCGCACACACACACGGACACTTTCCCACTCAGTGGTCTCCGCTAGAAGGAAACTGGAAGGAACTGGAATTCCCGGATGAACCAATAAAATCAAGATCCTGTCCCTCTAATCCCCATTCAGACATATTTTATCGTCATGGTACATGTTGTGGAAAGTTATGCCGTCACAGTGGCACATGTGGTCTCTGCTATTATGTAACACACTGTACGTGTGTGTATAGGGCTGCAGCTACTGAATTTCAGTTGTTGAATATGCTATCTTTTAATCTATTAATTGATTCTATGAAATGTCTAAAAAAATGCAACTCCAAGTTCCAAAGCAACATCTTCAGATGTCTTGTTTTGTCCCACCAACAGTCCGTCCTTCATTTGAGAAGCTGCAACACTAATGTTTAGATACAGCATCTTGGTAACCATGGTGAGACATTACTGTTGAAAATGAGAAAAACTGTGATTGTTACTTTAAAAAGCATCGGACTATTAGTAACAGTTTGATGGGTTGGATTAAGTACCTTTAAGTGCCTGTGAGTCTGACCAAACTGTGTGTGTGTGTGTGTGTGTGTTTGTGTGTGTCCTTGAGTAGAAGTTCATTGAGTTTGAGGACACTCATGAACAGGATAAGAAGGACCTGCAGAACCATGTGGACAGAATGGAGTCCCACTCCAGGCAACTGGAGCTCAAGATCAAGAACTACGTAGACCAGAGTAAGCACAAAATTACACGCATACACACCTGTTCTGTGATAATTCATTACACCATGTATTTTTTTCCTCATACTCACTGTGCTTTATTGTGTTATGGAGAAACATCCATTCATTGAAAATGTAATTATGTCTTAGCATGAATTTTATTTATATGTCTGTTCCCATGTACAAAGCCAGTCCCTTCTTCTCTTGTCGTTTTCTACCCTCCATATAGTCTTCCTTACTTGTTTGATGGCTCTCATGGCTTGTTATGGCTACTTTCTCTCTCTGCACACACACACACACACACACACACACACACACACACACACACACACATATATATATATATATATGTGTGTGTGTGTGTGTGTAACCTCAGACATTCGCATTCTCTTTCTCCCTCTTTGCGGGAGTAACAGTAATGGGATTATAGGATTTCTGTTATTCCCATCCTCCTAATGTGGCAGTGCATTACCGCCCATCTTATTGGTGGATTAAGGAATGGAGGGAAAGTGATGATTGGCTCTTTGCGTCTATCTTGTTGGAACTAGTGGATTCACATAGTAACTGCTCCAGTATCTCGTGGCAAAGCAACACAGCTGGTTAAAGTGAAACACTCATTCACACAAAGCTGTGTGAGGGAAGAAAATGCCAACATGAAATTCTCCCATATCTCACTGTTAGCAGAAGCATTAACGAGGCAAACATAAGAAGCTCAGAGAAATTATTTTGTAATTTCATAATTAACCATTCCCCTGTTTGGATAAAATTAGTGTACGTGCTCCACACAAATAGTCAGTGTATTCAGTCCACCCTTTCTGCCACTCCAGTGTAAATCGTTCATTCATTACTGTATATGCAGCACCTGAGATGATTGTGTCCTGAGGCATCTAGGACAGAGTCCACAGCCACTGTAGAGTGAGTTAATAAGGCCACAGTTAGTAGCAGATGATAGAAGCAGCAGCAGTATAGCTCATATTTTGGAATCCACTCTCCTACTTTTGCGTTGGCTTTATTTTCACTTGCCTGGCACTGAAGAGAAAAACTCATTTAGTTTTGTTTTTTGTTGTTCACTTCCAGTAGGGACATTTGAGGGTCATTTCTATTCATTCACAATACCATCAGACTGAGATTTATAATCTCAGTGATGCCCTTTCCTCTTAAATAAATTCTCTATTTTAGGATAATGTTTTTGTAAGGGCCTCAGCAAAAGGCATCCAACAATCTGATGATGAATATTTTACACAGACACACATCTCACCCTCTAGACTTCCCAGTTTTGTGTTCCATATCATGTTAGATTGGATAGTACAGAGAGAAAGGTCTTGTTTTGTCAGTGGTTAAACAGCTTTTTAGGTAAATAAATTAGGACTTTCATCAATATCAATGCCTCAATATTCAGCTGCACATTCATCTTCAGCTGTCACTTCAGCTGTTCATTACATGTCTCCATGAATTCGATGACTCATGACAGCAGAATGAATTCCCACGGTGATGTCAAAATACACACATAGACAAGACATGGTCACACAACATGCAGACGCTTTAGCTGCTGTAATTGATAGCATCCAGGGTTTACACTGTCTACCGCAGTCACTCTCTGCGTGGCTTAAGATAGAGCTGACAGGGTAATAGGGGATTTTTGTCACTTTAAAACTCATTTGAGTGAGATTACACCCTCTGCCTAGTCCCAGTGTACTGCCTGCTAGAGCAATACAATGCAAGAGGGACATGCACTCTGTGTACAAGGTTGTAGTACAATGTGGTACAATAAAGGTCTAAAAGTCGTTTGACATTTTGTGAAATGTTATTATTCGCTTCCTTGAGGAGAGTCGAGAAGGTTGATACTACTCTTATGGTTGTGCAGTAAATGTGAAGCTACTGCCAGCAGTAAGTAACTTAGGTTAGCATCAAGAGTGGAACCAGGGAAACTAGCAACTCTAAAGCTCACCATCTGATATAATGTATACATCTTGTTTTATCTGCAGAATCAAAGTGTGAAGCGGTGTCTTAGGCGGTGTTATGCTGGACTATTTCTTGTCTCTGAGCAATTGCAACCAGCGGAGACAAGGAAATAAATAGGAAAGAAATAATATGGAACGTAATACCTGTGAAACTTTGGTGGTTGTACAAACAAAAAGTGTTAATTACTGAGCATTACAGATGCTGGGAGGTGGAGTTTATTACCTTTGGACAGAGCTGTTTCCCCAATGTTTCCAATCTTAATACAGTTAATATCTTATATACAAATCAGTGTTTTCCCTATATGCATTCAGAAGCGCCTCTGCTGAATTATAACCGCCACTACTAAAATTTCCCACGATAATTAAACTATGCGCTACAAATTTTGTCACTGGGGACCATAGACTGTATATGCTCGGGACGTGCGTAGGACGGGGCAGAAAGTGACGGTGACCGCGAGCGGTCAAGAAAAACGTCTGTTGTTTCCTCACCTGCTGGAAAAGTGAAGCTGGTGTTGTGCCGGGTTTTGCCTGATTGCCGAGAATTGCATGCACCTCCAAATAATGCTTTTAAATGCTGTAATATTCTTTGTGGGCTTCATCAATGGTGATAAATGATTCGAAGTATATATTTTATGAACGTTTAGAGTCTTAATATTTTAATACACTTAGTAGAAGTACCATTCCTTGACATTCAGTAAATATATGTGGTGAAAATGCTGTTTGATCAATGAGCACAGCAAAGTGTCTGAGAAGGACCCAAAGAGGTGGATGCATAATTCGGCAGATCAAATTTTGTAGGCTACCTGCCGAGATTTGCATCCACTTCTTTTCTCAGCATAAATGACCGTTACCACCCGTGAGGTGCATGCAATTCTCGGCAGGCAGGCAGAATTCGGCACAACACCGGTTTGCGCTAGCTAACATGTCCCCTCCCCTTCAGACTGCGGCGCTGAGCAGGAAAGCTTATAACATTACAGTAGGCTACGTTTATGGCTCTATGTAAGATTAGCTCAATTTATAGAAAGTAACTGGTAGCTGTATTTTATTACTACCTACTTGTCCAATGTTGAGAACATCAGATACAAACTTAGACTAAACAGGTATTGCCTAAAGCTCTGTCCTGTACAGACTGATTAAATTATTTTTCAGTTTTCAGATGAGTCTGAAAAGTGGTTGTTGGAAAAGCTGAGCTGAGGTTAGCAAAGCAAAAGTGATACAAACTAGTCCTTTTAAGCTAATGAGGAGACGTTTCTTATTGGATTTTAATGTGCAAATAAAATGCATCTCAGAAGGGAGGAGGTTTTTCATGTTGCCTATTTTTTTATATTGATATCTAAACAGATAAATGTCAAGAGCTGTAAAATGAAGACACAAAAGGCAAACATGAACACTCTATAGTGATTCTGAGGTCATACTAACAGGGTTTTAGGGGGTGACGCCCAAAACATGCTGTGCCATAGATGTAAAATCACTGTGGAGAGCATCATAACCAACCAAATTACTTTCCCCAAATCTTAATTATCTGCTCTAGCTTTTCCAACTATTTGTTCATATTTGTCACTGGAAACATAAAATTTTCTTTAGTTGGCAGATTAGAAGAACGTGAATTGGAGCTCAAGAAGGAATACAACTCTCTCCATCAGCGACACACAGAGGTAAGGAGGAGGGGGAAGGAAGAAAAGTAAACTGTTGTCGAGACAGGCATTAACAACATTCATGACTAGCTTCCTCTTTGGTTTGACTTCTGCAGATGATCCATAATTATATGGAGCACGTAGAGAGGATCAAAATGCAGCAGATTAGTGAGACCTCAGAGTCGAGCACGGCCGGCCGAGTCAGGTAAGACCAGATAAGTTTGTAGAAATGCTGTGCTCATGTCACATGGCATGGATGGTACAGATGGGAAGATTCCCATGTTAATGACTTTTGAGCCTTCAAGTTATCAAGAAGGTTGTGTGATTCAGAGTTCGTCGTGTTAGGACTGAAGTACTGTGCATTGACAATACAACATCTCCATTACATTTGGGTTTAATTACACAGACTTGTGAGAGATGTGAGGCCTTTTGAATTAGCAAGTGCCAAGACCAACAAATCAGAAATTTCAAACATTTTCTAGTCGTAATTACTATTTAAATGTCAACAAGAATGGTAAACAAAATCAGAAACTAATAAAAAAAACTCCAATGTGATATGAATGAGAAACACTTCTGAGGCTCCTCAGGAAGAACCCTATTTTTCCATGGCATACAACACTATAGACAAACCTGTGAACAGGATTATGTGAACTTCGAATGGCGTAGTTTATCTTAGAAACTGTAAAAACAAGTAACTGCAAATCAAAACACTGCCACAGCAAACACTTCAGTTAACAACAAGGACTGAGACAAGATCCATGATTTGCCTTTGACAAAGCATGATGAGAACCAGTCTTTTCTTGTCACTCCAGGAGAGAGCGGCCTCTTTCTTTGGGGATCTTTCCATCGTCTGGTGGGGTGTCCCTGCTAACCCCAGACCCCCAGACCAAGGCAGAGACACTGAGTACAGAGGGCTGGAGGTTTACCGACCCATCACAACCACGGTCCAACACCAGCCTCAAGGTATGTGTCGTGTTGGTGGGAAATAATGACTCCATGATTCCAGGGTGATTTTTCTTCAGAGAATGAACTCTTGTCTGGTCCAGACTACATGAAATCAGCCTGTTAACTAACATTGGGAGTTTACAATGGAAATGAACACGGACATGCAGTGCAGCGTGGTGAGAAACAAGTGTTATGCCTTTATAGTCCAGACACAAAAACACAAGACAGAATTTATTTTTTACCTTTGAGACTGTGTCCTCATTGTTTCCTCCTTATTTCATCAGTGTCAGTTGTGCATCTGGTTATTGTCCAGTCTGCATAGCAACAATCTTAAATGATTAAGACATATTTAGTATTTTATATTATATATATTTAGTCCCACTAAATGGTTTACACCTGAACACTCTTACTGTTTTAGCTGTTTGGTCAAAATGAGTGTCAACAGCATAGAAACATGTCCAAAGAAATGCATAAAATATGCAGAACGATATGATGGCTTTAATCCCATTTCCTGGCTGAGTATTTCCAGCCCTCCTGCCAGTGCTAGAAGACAGTAGTTTTGGCTTTGGATCTATTTAAAAATAGAGAGCCTTTGATGAGGCTCGGGCGTGTAGGCAAATCTTAGCAGGCATTTGACAAGGCACCTCTGTTTTCAGACATCCTCCTCTTTAGCCATAGATGAAAATGCAAACGTGTCTGTTCCCGTGGTGCATCAGTCAGGGGAGATCATTAAATGTATCACATGAATATTATAATAGCAGCAGCAATTCTTCTTTTTGATGCAAATTATGACGTTGAATTTTATTATGTGAAGTGTGTTTTGAGTCATTTCAATTCATGTTAAACTGCTTTAAATACTACTGGGAATACAAAACATTGTTCTAACATAGACATTATAATGGTTATGTTTTCTCAGCTAAAAATAAGCTGTTTTCTTTAACAGTGATTGGTACTCTTGAAAACTGTGTTTGCTGCGTGGGCTATCTATGGCAGTTCGGACCTGGAGGGTGACAATGTTAATTCATCCCACTGCTGCGTTTTTGTTAAAACTGGGACATCAGCTCTGTGGCGTGATGCATGATGGGAGTGATGCCGCTGTATGGCTCGCAGCCAGTCACTGAGGGAGAAAAGGGCTTGCTGGAATGTGATTGGTTCTTATGTAATCAGTGCTACAGGACGGTTATTGTTGAGCTTTTGAACACGAGCGGCTTTGATATGCAGACACGCTCTTAGAGTTTAACGGAGATGTCATATTTATTTATGGGAGTGTGTGACGTTTCAAGTGAAAAGGAACAACAATTTAAGAACATATGCCAGTCATGATCTTATCTCCATGCACGATATGAGTCATATAAGCAAGACCATCCCATTGCCTTTTAAACTGGAATAATTATATTTTCTAAATCATTACTTTTTGTTTCATTCAAAGGGACCTTGACAATTCAATTCAATTCAGCTTTATTAGCATGAATGTAAAACAAAAATATTGCCAAAGCTACAAATAAATTAATTAATTTCATACAGTTCATTAAATAAAGTAAATAAACAGTAAAAGTGTGACAAAGCTATGCCACTTAAAGGGGAACTCCACCGATTTTACATATCAAACTCTGTTTACAGGTCAGGGGAGCACTACTGCGTATGTCAAAAAGTTGCACAAACCCTTTGGTGACTCCGGCATAAAATCTGAGGAATATCATTTGGGGCTGAAGTTTTAAAATGAAAAATAGTGGAGTGTGGAGTTGGAGAGAAGTGAGCTTATCAGCAGTCCACTCCTCATCTCTGCTTAAAACTGGCGGCTCAAGGCTACATTACCTGCTACTAGGGATAAGGGTGTGGAATAAAACACGTTATCTCTGGATCTGTTGCATCAATTGTCTATCCTGTCCCATCAGCCTGACAAATGTAAAGGGGAACATTACTAAATTGGTGGAGTACTGTTTTAAACAGTAGCTATGTAATTGGTACAATTCATGGGAATAATATTTAATTTTAGGTAGTGATGAAAAACACTATTAGTACTTCTTAACTGATTAATACTTCTTTTATTAAGTGAAAACACAAAACATTTGGCTGCAATTTTACAAATCCTAAGATTTACTTACCAGTCCAAGTACAACTTCGAAGGTATTTTGTCTAAGGACGCCATTTGGTCAGGACAGTGACTAATGATTACTGTCTGTCAAAACTAATTGTTTCCTCTACAGTTGTAAGGGTTAGTCAATATAAAAAACTACAGGTACATTACATACAGGAAAAGATTACTGAACTTGATATTTTGAAAGATGAATTAACTTTATTGAAGATGAATCTGTTGTGGCTACCTCACAGTGCAGACTGTCTAGTCTAGACTGCAAGCAATAGAGCATGTGCGCACACACACATTAATTACACAGACATGCACACTTAGGGGTGTATGCATTTTTGCTTCTGCACATGTGAGCTTCATTCTTACTTCTTCCCCCCCAAGCAGTTGGACTTTGTCGACCCCCCAAAGGAAATGGAGGGTAAGAGTGCGCAGGACTCTTCTTGGGGGAATTCACTGGCAGACGACTGCAAGGTAGTTGGATGAGTGGCAGCTGGTGGAAGTGCCAGCGGCGGCAGCACGCCTGCATTGGCTGCAGACAGCGCAGTGTTTGTGTTTGCGTGTGTGTGGCCTTCAGTAGCCTCCTCCACTATGCTGTTTCATCTTTTCAAAGGCGTCGCCTCTCACTTTGTGCATTTATAGACCCTCACTTTACAGACCACCTGTGCTAGATCGTGCTACATGCAACCATGTCCTGTAACGAAGGCTACATTGGGTTCTTTCAAAATCTAGGCGCACACAACAATCAGGTGTGTCACAGATGGAATTGGTAAATTATTCATCTGTTAAAATCAATAACAGCGTGGTTGCATCTGGCCTCTACAATGCATGAGTTTTTTTTATTTCATACGCTTCTTTGTAGTTTTGCTTCACTTATGCATATCTTCAACATAACAGTAACATTTCTGATCACTCATTGTACAATAAAAATAGCATCATGCATTTTAATAGTATTCTGTATTTTAATGCTGTAGTTGTGTAGATCTGATGTCCAGTAGATTTGCATTGTTCAGTTTCTTCTAAACTGCTTTTAGTTTTTGAATCATGTGGGTTTGTGTCGTATTGTGCTCTAGTGGTAGAATGGCAGCTCCCACTGTGGCTGTGGTTAATTTGAGTTTCTGTGAAGCCCCCCACCCCACCCCCCAAATCCGTGTAGCTGTGCGTGGACTTCCTTGTCTGTTTTTATGTACTAGCTCTGTGTTGCTCATGTTTTCCCTGTGCATTTCCCTGTGATTTGAAAGCTGTTCTCAATGCATCCACATCCATCGTTTAGTGTTTCAGGGTTGTTTCCTTTTTGGTGTTAATTCATAGTATTTCTTTTAGATTCCCTGATGTTTTCAGGATTTATACTTTCCCAAAAAGGTGGAAGGTTGTGTTAATGGATTTAGAGGTAGATTTTCTCTTTGAGATAATGAAGATGCTCTTGCTCTACACAAAGTAAGAGCTCGTGTCTTCTGTTATAGTGCATGTGTCGTGTGTAGTGAACTCTCTAGCTTGTGATTAGTACTTTTAACCTGCCCAACCATGTTGTCCTGTTAGCTCGCAAACTGTGGTGTTATGCTGTAGTTTTCTTTGTGGTCCGAATGTGTTCTGTATGTTTTTAGTTTTTTCATTTCGGCACTGGTTCATTAAAAGTCTCCCTGTCATGTTGACCCTTGACTTTCAATGGCTATGTGTAAATAACATAAACAAATAATAAAAAATTATTATTAAATATTGCTGTAAGTAAGCCCCCTTTCGTTACAGGATGAGCTGTCGGACTTCACTGGCTCCAAGTCAGCTACTCCGATGTCCACCACAGCCTCGGACATGGAGAGGGAAGATGGGAATAGTAAGAGCATGGAGGTGCAGGCTGCACCGGGAACCAGATCCATATCAGTGGGTAGGGTCAAACATCAGTAAAACAGCACTAGTTCATAGAATCACATTCATTAGTCATGTATTAAACTTGTTGGTCTTTGTGCATTTCTCCTTTTTTGTGGGGGAAAGGGTTTGGCATACATATTTTGAATCTAAAAAAGTCCTATTTGATGCAAAATGTTCCTAGATTTATCCTCACACACAGCACCCTTTCCTCTTTTTGGTATTTTGGCACATGCTGTCTTATGCAGGTTTGCCTGAAAATGAGGACAACTCAGATGTGCAGGACATCATAGAGTCCACCCCTGAGCTGGTCATGGATCTCATTGGATACAAACCCTGCAGGTAGTATGAAAAACATGCTTGTCAGGCCAGTTTTAAACAAAGGTAGTAACATCAGCACAACAGGTAACAACACATCAACCTCCTGTTGTGATTACTCTTCTAGCACCCCTACTAAAGGCATTGAGAACATGGCATTTGACCGCAATACAGACTCTCTGTTTGAAGAGCTGTCGTCTGCAGGCACCGGACTCATAGGGGATGTTGATGAAGGGGCCGACCTGCTGGGTGAGTAAAAACGTCATCTTCATTGGAACAATGCAGCACAGAAATGGAATAATGTAGCAGGAATCCTGTCAGATCCTGTGAATACATTTCATCTACATCATGTTGGAAAAGTCTGTATCAATTGTCTCCTTTTCAATAATGAACTGACTGAATGATTGTTTAGCTGAAAAACCCTACTGACACTTTCCCTGGAACTTTAGTATTTAGAATACACACTAGTTCTGTACAAGCTCACTTTCCAGAGATTTGCATGTTGTGTGAATATTAAATAAGCATATACATGTTATTTGTGACCATGGCCATGGAAAATACTTGTTTGTAATTGGCTGGTAGATGTCTAATAAAATCCTACAGGCCACAAAGTAACTAACAAGCAAAAAAAATAAGAAGCAGAAAGCAACTTAAGGACACTAACAAAACCATCAATAACCACTTTCTTCAGTTGTAGAAGCCCTCTTATTATCAGCTTTCTACTTGGTAAAAATTGTCACTTTATAAATAAACGATACCTCCCTCTCAGAGGTTAAATGTGATTGGTTATTATGATGTCATTTGAGAATTAAGCTTCTTTCAGTTATAGAGGGACCACCTATCACAGAGCGAAACCTTTTGAATTTGAGAAAGTAAATAAATATAAATATAAAATGAGAGTTACTGATTCTGTTTTTTAGATTTAGTCCTTATTGTTCCCTGCTGATTAAACTACAGGTAACCCAAACAATAATATTAACATGAAGATATTTAACATTTAAAAATAGATGGACGCATGTTCTTTCTTTCTTTTTTCCCCCCAGTCTATTCACTTGGCCATGGCATCAAAAACACACTTAAGAGGTCATTTTGAGGTGTACTGATTTAGAGAACAATAGACTCTGTGGAGCACAATGTGTATCAGTATCAGTGAAACGTATTGCATACAAATTTTTTTATATATTTGTTTACATCTGTAATCGCTTTTATACTGATATACTTTACTACTGTGTTTGAGTAGCAGCTGTTGTAATACTGATACAACTACTTTTAGATTCCTTGTAACTCCCAACACCTGCTGTTTGCTGCAATGCTATACCACTTGCTTTGGTCCAGCTGTTTAGCCATCTACCCATGTTAACATCACCTCTCTCTCTCCCGTGTCTCATCCTCTGGCTTTTGTCCATAATCCCAGTGGAGTACTCTGGTGTGTATGACCTCAAACCTTTCCTTAGCTAAGCATTCTTCTATAATGTCCTTTTGATCTCTACCCATAAGTCACTCTCATTTCCGCCATCATTTTAGCTCACAGATTGTTCTTCGTTAAGTTTGAAAACAGTTGACTTTTGACTACTTTTGACTAAGTTTGGTGCATGAATGATGGAGTCCAATGCTTCCTTTTTGGCCTAACTATTCTTTTTACAGCTTAAATTTATTATTTTTTTGCCCGTGTATTTTCCTGTTTTCCTTCTCTGTACCGCTGCGATTGCCGTTTCTAACTAGCTTTAGAGACCCAACAGCGCCTTTTGCTTGTGGAGTCAACAACTACACGTTTAGCTCTGGCTCCTTCATCATTTTTGGTCATTCCACTGTCTCAAACTATATCCGCATTTCTTTCTCTCTCTCTCTCTGCCTTGTTCTTTCCGCCTGACTTGGATTGCATGGTTTTCTCAGACCTTAGTTTGATTGGTAAGACCCCACCCACTCTATCCATCCTTCTCCTGTCAGTCATGTGACATGTGCTGTGCGTTTATGTGTTGTGGCAGTTTCTTGTACTGTGAAAGCTACAGTAACAAATATCTCACTAGCAGATATTTCATGTCTTACGTAGTGCTTTGTTGTATTTTAACATTATTGAGAATAATCTATAGTGTTGAATCTTAACCATCTGTAGTGCTTATGTAGTCACCGCTGCAGCTTGTTGTCATTTAAAAAAAAATCTAATTCTAATTTCATCGTCGCTTCTGTTTAGGTATGGGCCGGGAAGTTGAAAATCTCATTCAGGAGAATTCACAGCTGCTTGAGACAAAGTAAGTACAAAACTTAATGGGTTTTTTGTGTCATGACTTGGATATATGATATCCACCACTTCTTAATCCTTTGTCCCAGTCAAATTGTGCTAAGAGTGTTTTAAGTATGCTAAAATGTGCTCTCCAGGAATGCTCTGAACGTGGTGAATAAAGACTTGATCTTGAAGGTAGACGAGTTGACCTGTGAGAATGAGATGTTGCAGGGAGAGCTGGAGGCTTTGCTGCAGGCCAAGACCAAGCTGGAGGACAAGACCAGAGAGCTGGAGGAGGAACTCAAAAAGTAAGTCATAGCAGGTAGCAGGTATTGTTTTAACACTACCCTGCTTATATATTTTATTAAAATGTATTTCCTGTATGTCTTGCGAGTGTAATCCATGGTCTTTTCCAGAGTACGACTTGAGGTGGAGGAAGTGAAACATAAAACTAAAGATGAAGAAGATGTGAGTCTTTACCAACAATGTCTGCGATTGCAGATATATCTACACATATAGTATATAACATGTTTGTTGTTGTCCGATTTGTTAGTATTGTCTATAAATGTATGCAGTAATTGGTAAATGCATGGAAAAACATAAATATACCATGTTTGTCTCTGTCAAGATGCAGCTCATCCCCATAACAATAAATGTATTTCTGTGTGGTCATGTGCGGGTTTAATTGTGTGCTACGGCAGAGTGACGTACCTACAGCCCAGAGGAAGCGCTTCACCAGAGTGGAAATGGCCAGAGTGCTGATGGAAAGGAACCAGTACAAAGAGAGACTGATGGAGCTGCAGGAAGCTGTGCGGTGGACAGAGATGATCAGGTACATAAGAAAGGGTGGCAAATTTACACGTGTACATAATCATGTTTGTGTTTACATTAAGGTTAGTATTGAAAATGACCACACCATGCTGTAGTCTTAATACAGTATTTACCAGATACAAACTCAGTCCCAGTTTCAAATTGTGCTGTGAGAATGATGTCTGCTGTTTTCCTATCTTAAAGAGGAAATCTTGTTGGTGTGCAGTAAAAGCATTACTTGGCAAAAATGACACAATGACATAACATGAGTATAATATTTTCTGAATTGGAGTTAGATGGTATTGCTGCTGTCACAATCACTCGTGCAACATGATAACGTTTTTCAGTAGCAGAGCATGGAGACCACCTCCGTACATGATAACTTCTTAGTGTTTCACTCATCAATCTAAATGTAAGAAGCAGTAGGACATCTGCAACATCATCTTGTCCTCCTCCTTAGGGCCTCGAGAGAAAATCCAACACTCGCAGAAAAAAAGAAATCCAGCATCTGGCAGTTGTAAGTACTTCCAAATGTTTCTTTTGTAATAAAAACAACCTTTTGTTAGGGCTTTAGTTTTGACGGCCTGTTGGCGTCGATGAATATATTCCTATAAATTACCTACTGCCACATTTTCTCTCAAATGTTCAAATACATTTGTTTTTTTTCTCATCTTTCCCGGGATGTGCTATTGAATTGGCAGAATTAGGTAAAGATGGTTTAATAAACCTTCCCCCAGCCAGACCACTTCTCTTTCCCACCACTGACACAGAAGTGCTCCTCCATTTCAAATGGATCCAACTTTGATGTGTTTTTATCCGTGATATTTTCTCTCTGTGCAGTGCGTCAGTTGTTGTTATCACAAACTGCTCAGACATGATTCTCCTTGTGCCCCCGGGCTTTCCTGTCTCCTGCCTGCTGTGTGCCTTTTTTGATGTTTTCCTACTCTGTCTGCTCTTAGGGAGCTAATGAGGGATGGAGCCTAAATACATGTACACGTTCTGTCTCAAGTCAGACTGTACTTACAGATCAGTATGCTTTTTTGTTTAAAGGAATCTTAACAGATTTAGTAGAAGTGTTATCTTTGTTTTATCGGGCTTATTTGAGTAGACGTCATGAAAATATTGAGCAAAAGAATTAAGCAGTAAGCTCGTACAAAGCTTTAGCACAAAACTCCGTGTTGGGAAATGTCAACACAAAATCACTGGATGGACCTGGAATATGTAAATATTTTAACAATGTTTTCCCCATCTTTTCTGCATGGACAATTCTATTATATTGTTGAAATGGAAAGTGTGATTGAAACACCATTCTGAAATAATGAGTTAGACATTAACATATAGTATTTTCTTTTTTGAACTGTGATTTTAATCTGTTTATTCAAACCTTTATTCACACATACTAAATGGTTTAATTATGCATTATTTATACAAGGATGTATACAACTTTTACGCAGATAGACTTTGCCTGGGTATTGTTGTGTTTTTGTTTTTTTACACTGGGGGCAATGACACATCATTCTTAACACCCATGCAACATACTACCTTGTAAAAGTGTAAAACTATCTAACTTGAAACTTAAGATATTGTTGATACTTTATTAGTACTGTTGTTCAATATCCAGTCCCAGTTAAATGTGATAGGAAGTGCGCAGCTCCCAGCATGCTTTACGTCACTGTAAATGTTGGTGGTGGTTCCTTGGTTGGTGACCCCGTACCTTGCTTTTTCCCTGCACTCCTGTCTGGTCTGTTTCCCCTTTGGCTTTCTGTAACTTCGCCACCTGCAGCTTCAGCAGACTGTTTAGCCCCTCCTCCAGTGCCCCTGCTATAAAGAAGGTGGAGTCCCAGTCCAACGTGAAGTACAACGCCCCGGGCAGCCTTGTGAAGAGGAGTAGCACCTTCTCCCAATTCCCTACAGAGAAGTCCAAGACTTTCGACTTCCTCAATGAAGAGTGAGTAATGGAGTGCCTGTGAGTTTGGTGTATTTTATCAAGATTAACATGGTGAAGGATGTGAAAAAGGTACATGTTAAAATTATTATGTATTTATTTTTCTAAAATAATGTCAACATTATAGTACAATCTATCTGGGTTTGATGTCCATCGTGACTCATCCCAAATATATCTTGAATGTTATTGGATAAATTGGAATGCTATTTGTGGCATGCAATAATGTACATGTATATAATGTATCTGTAAGCTGATCACATTACTCTGTCTTTGCTCTTCTTGTAGAAAGGACCAGTGCAGTTCGCCCTCACGTAGAGAGCTGAAGAGAGCCCAGTACAGACAGGTGAAGGCCCACATGCAGAAGGAGGATGGACGAGTCACTGCACACGGCTGGAGCCTGCCCAGCAAATACAAGGAAATGAAGGTGTGAATATAGGGATCAAGTTTCATTACATCGGTGACTATAAAACAATTTACACACAATTTTAAAGAAAATATTTAAAATATCCACCAGATGGAGCCCAACTTCATAAGATTAGACAGACTTCATAAGATTAGACAGAGTCAAGGTACCAGTGATATAATGTGAAAATGAACATTGTAAATGTTCAGGTGCAGTTGTTGACGTTCTGGGAATGCCTAAATATTTTGTTTCGTTTTAGTTTACATATTAATGTAGCTGTCATAAAATTCCACTGTGGCTATATGAGCTCTGTGTTATTGTGAGAAAATGGGATTTATTTTCTAATGCACTGCACATAGACCAGGGGAAAGTCAAAATCTGCCACAGTGGCCCCACACTCAGACAAAATTGAGACACCTGTACCTCTAAGTGTTGGAACTATAGTTCCCATGATGCTTCTGGGGATATAAACAGGAAGTTAATGTTGCTAAGGATTCAGTGATATTTGTTTACGTTTTGGTACCTTTTACAATAATGCTGAATTAGCTATTAGCAGTTCCTTTGTGCAATATTTTTAAACCCTAGTAACTGTAAAAACACTTACTTTGTCCAATGTGATAGTGTAACAAAGCACATAAAACAGCACATTAAGCATGATTAGAAAAACACTGAAATCTAAGCAATTTTGCATTTGTGCAATTTTAATGTTTTGCAATGGTTGAGTCAAAGTGATGTTGACCTTCTAAAGAACCTTTCACAGCACCTCAGATGTTGGCTTCAGAAAGTGTTGATTGTGTTGCCCATTTGTAGATGTATCTTTAAAGCCTGTGTCCACCCCAACAGGTAGCAAATGGTGGACAGGTGGAGAACAAAATGAACTTACCTGTGCCAGTATACTTGAGACCTCTGGATCAGAAAGATGCTTCTATGAAGGTACGTGAGTCAACAACTAGACAACACTTGAATATAAGCAGCATACTATCTACCTAATTGTACATTTTCTTAGACTTTGAAGAAAATGTGATATTTATAACCTGTTCTCTCTCTGTTCCCCAGCTGTGGTGTGCAGCAGGGGTCAACCTGTCTGGAGGGAGGACATTACCCACATCAGAGCTCACTAAGCAGACGAAGGGCTCTCAGAATAGCCTGGACCAGATGGAGCAAGAGAGTAAGGTAAGAGTAAGTAATGTAAGGAAGAGGCCGTGGTTATCCTGCCATGTTTGTATAATTATAATGCTTAGACCTGGACAGCACTTTTTAAGTTTAGTGAGTTCAGAAAGTCCCTTTGGCTTAAATTCTGTGGAGACTGTTAGTTGATTTTGTGTTGTCCATCAGGATCAGGAGAAAGCAGAGCAGGAGAAGGAGTTGGTACTTCAGGACGAAACATCCAGTAGGGTGTGGGTGTGCACCAGCACCCACTCCTCCACCAAGGTTATGGTGCTGGATGCCAGTCAGCCCTCTGACCTACTTGACAGCTTCTACGCCTGCAACACCCACGTTGTCTGCATTGCCAGTGTGCCAGGTAGGCTGAGTGCTCACAGTTTGTGTGGGTTGGGTTTCTTTGTCTTTGTCATCCATACATTTCTGTTCTATTCTTGAAGCACTGAATTTTGAGTGTTTTTTGTTGTTTTGTAAGGTGTGTTGGAGACTGATTATCCGGCAGGCGAAGAGGTACCTCAAGACCTGGAGGCTAGCCAAGGTGACAGGGCTTCACTGGCTGGCAGTGTGGCCAGTGTGGGCTCTGCAGGCAGCGATGGTGCCACGGCAGCAGAGGGGACCACCGCCATCCCCCAGACAGCCAGCTCAGGTGTCACTGATCAGCCGGCTGAGCACAGCGGCTACTCTGGCTCAGGTAGTTCTCTGCTGAGAAAATGCTTTGATAGAATATGTCCTTATTTGTTTTACTGCCACACTGTTTGCATTGAACACAAAGAGGGCTTCTAGCAACAGCTTAAGGGTCCATCCGGGGGTTGGATCACAGAGTGAAATTTGTGAGTTAGCTAGCTCTTTGGCCTTAACTCAGGTCTCTTGTTTCTGGTATCACGAAGCTGGCAATCAGCTTGCTGGAAAAATGTAATTTACTTTCCTACAGTATTCCAACTTGGATGAAGGGACAGAGTTTACAACAAAGTGACAAATAATAAAGAGCAAAAGAGACATTTCAAATCTATCATTAGAATTACTTTGATTTCCATAATAATTATAAGTGTGTCGAATCAGTTTTAAACAGGATGCTGCTGGGACTGCCTGTTGCTCTTGTGCTCAATCTTACCTTCAGTTAGATACTTCCTTCCAACCCAAGTGATCAGGGACAATCTACCCATTTCCTTGCACAGTTACTGTATATTGCTGTGTAGGAAATCCCACCATTTCCTGTATCACTCATTTAGCCCTGTGATCCACAATGCCCACAGTTGAGCTGTCCAGAGAGACCAGTCCAGCAGAAGATGGCATTCCCACGGCGGAAGAGGCAACCGAAGCGACGGAGGCTAACGCTGGTGTGGGCGAAGAAGGGGAGGAGGACCAGGGAGCGGATCAAAACCAGCCAGGAATCTACACTGAGCACGTGTTCACTGATCCGCTGGGGGTGGGACCCACTGACTCCTCTCCTGCAGACACACAAAGGTGAGCAACAATGTTCTAGATCTTCACTTCGTAAGTCTTCTGAAAAATCGTGTGCTGTTATATATACAAAACAAAATGTCTGTCTAAAATGAGAGTATCTGGATATTTATCATACAAAGGAAATGTTAATAAATGTTGACAACACACAACTGTTGAATATTCTGCCCTCTGTGATGCAGGGACCCTTGGCAGGATGGTCTGACTTCCTTGCCAGAAGACTCAGACCCATCGGAGGGGGAAGTCCTGAGGATGAGCAGCGCCCTCCCCACCATGTGGCTGGGAGCTCAGAATGGATGGTGAGCAGGACAACAGCCACTAGAGGGTGCTTTCAGTGCAGCAGCAACACATAAGCCTTATGTAATAAAGGGTGGTGCTGGCACAACAAATAAAATGATAAAAAGAGAGGTGATGAAAGTGCAACTTAGACTTGTTTTTGGTACACATTTTACTGGTAATGATTTAGCTTTAAGTCATTTGGCCGTTACACTGGTGTGAGAGTTCTCATTTAGTTTGAAATCCACTCTGAATAAGCCAGTACTGCACCCTGATCAGCCTTCCTTCATCTCTCTGTCTCTCCCTCACCAGTCTGTATGTCCACTCGTCTGTGGCTCGATGGAGGAAGTGTCTCCATGCCATAAAGCTGAAGGACTCCATCCTTGGCATAGTGTGAGTACAAAGTCGGTTGTGTAATTAGTTATTCAAGGACACACACCAAACGCACATTTATACCTACTAGAAAGAAAAAATATGCAAAAAAAAAAGTGGCTAACCTCTTGTTACAGGCACGTTAAAGGGAGAGTGCTGGTGGCTTTGGCTGATGGGACTTTAGCAATTTTCCACAGAGGCATTTGTAAGTGTGAAAATCAGGAGAAGTTATTTAACATTAAAGACTTTTTTATAGTATCTACACTCTTGGGTGCATTTTGACCTCTGATGGCCATTTTCTGCCACAGAGATCCACAGTTCTCAAGTGTCTTTGTTTCTCCAAAGCAGACGGTCAGTGGGATTTAACCAACTACCACCTGTTGGATCTGGGCCGGCCCCACCACTCTATCCGCTGTATGACTGTAGTGCATGACAAGGTGTGGTGCGGCTACAGGAACAAGATCTACGTCATCCAGCCTAAAGCCATGAGGATAGAGGTACAGCTGTCTCCTAAATGACTTTTCCTTTCCAGTCAACCACAACCTATTCAACCTTACTTGAATGCAGTTATTATGGTACAACCGTACCTTTATCTCAAACGTTTGAAAATCCTACATTTAACATTTCCACAATACTCTAACATCACATGATCTCAACCCGTCGCGTCTCAGCAGAAGTCGTTTGATGCTCATCCTCGCAAGGAGAGTCAGGTGCGGCAGCTGGCCTGGGTCGGAGACGGCATCTGGGTGTCGATCCGACTGGATTCAACTCTACGCTTGTTTCACGCCCACACCTACCAGCACCTCCAGGATGTGGACATCGAGCCCTACGTCAGCAAGATGTTGGGTATACATGCTTTCCTCTGTATACCAACCAGCCACTTCTCTCAGAAGTCATTATCTCTTCTCTGACTTTCACCTGACTACAATATTTTTACATTTTAGAAAATAATCAGGAGTACCAACTAGAGTTGCTGTATAAAAGCAGATTAAATGCTGTTTAAGGTGACATACATAGAGTATTTATAGTGTATAGCTTCTGTACATGTATATGTTCATGAGCCTGACATTTAGAGAGCAGCATCTATATATTTTGGGTAGATACTGAACTCCTTCTTCCAGATGTTTCGCATATGTATTGAAACAGTATTAAAGTGTGTGTGTTCTGTGTGTGTTGCAGGTACGGGTAAGCTGGGCTTCTCGTTTGTGAGAATCACAGCTCTGACGGTGTCCTGCAGCCGACTGTGGGTGGGGACAGGAAACGGCGTCATCATCTCCATCCCGCTATCTGAAGGTATCACACAACCCAGTCAGGCTTACCCCATGCAACAATCTCCCGAACATTCCCTTTTGATTTCATTTTGTTTTTTTACTTGGTGGTCGGATGCATAGAACCCGCATTTGTCTGGGAGACTGTGTGTACGTTGTCTCTGTTCATAACCCTGCTTTGTACAGTTTTCTGGATGGTAAAAAAACAATAACAAGCATTAACAATGATTTTTTTATACATTTCCTGCTCTCAGCTTGTTAAACTTGTTTACAGTCTCCTTTACCCACAGCTGGCCTGTTTTGTAAATGTGTTTGTTTCTCATCTCTTATTCTTTCATCTGCTTCTTTCTTGATAATTTTTCTCACAATACTTGTTTTAAAGTCTCTGTCTTCCCTGCTTTAAAACAGCACAGCAAAATAGACAAATGAAATGAGACATTTGTGTTCAAACCCAAGACAATGTCCATATTTTTACATTAGTAGTACATTAGCTTTTATTAAAAAAAAGTTCTGTCTTATTCTGAAGCCAACAAGACAACGGGAACAGTGCCAAATCGGCCCGGCAGTGCTGTACGAGTTTACGGTGATGACAGTTCAGACGGCGCCATGCCAGGCAGCTTTGTGCCATACTGCTCAATGGCCCACGCCCAGCTGTGTTTCCACGGACATCGAGATGCTGTCAAGTTCTTTGTCACCGTGCCAGGTAAGCGACAAAATGCAGGAAAACTGTGGTATCAGGTGTCAGAAACAGTGAGTGCTACAAAATGAGAAGCTATCAATCCATGTTAGTATTATTTCACACCTGAAGCACCATTTATATTTATGACAGTAGTAGAGCTACAACAACTATTCTATTAGAAAAAAAATGCTATGGTCCATTTTGTGAATGTCAATTAATTGTAATTATAAGTTGATGAAAGGTTTCTTTGTAAACAAAAACATGTCTGGTCATTAAATTTTTTGTTACAGGTCAGGCAATGCCCCCTCCTGGCAGTGCAGATTCAGGCTCAGATGACCCGCCATCTGAATCCTCTGACACAGCGACCTCTGAGCCCAAAACCTACCTGGTCATGAGTGGTGGCGAAGGCTACATTGACTTCAGAATGGGTGAGTATACCACAACACTGGCACCATTAACAAAAAAAAACAGAGGTCATGCAAAATGTATTCACTAAGGCGGAGCCAACAAGTAGCGTTCAAGTCTTCCATTAGTGACAAGCAATTATATATATTGAATTTATTAAATAGCCCTCTGGAAGGTGCTGTACAGCAGCCTCAGCAACTAAGAACATTTACAAAAAGTCTTTCATACCAAATATAATAAGTTGCCAAAGAATAATTTCCACATTTGTGGACAATAAAGATATCTATCTGTGCAATATCTGTTTTACTATAATAATGCTGTCTGACTATGAAAACTGGTGCAAATAGGCCCAGTGTCTTCACTGCGACCCACCTGGTACGCTGTTTGTTTGACTCGTTGTCTTCCTCCCCAGGTGATGAAGGCGGTGAGTTGGACGGTTTATCAGGGCCTACAGGCAGCCAGCAGTCTGCACCTACAAAGGGCGAGCAGAGCCACCTCATCGTCTGGCAGGTCACAACCTCCCATGATTGAAAAAAATAAATAAAAAATCACCACAGACTGTTGTGTCAACTTCAGGGCCGCCCACTGGCCCTTGCATGCCATTCTGGAAGATTTTAATTTGATATTACTGATTGTTCTTAATGCCTGAGTAGTTGACTACTTTGTAAAAAAAAAAAAAAAATTTATTTTTAGTCCATGTTTTGTACAGTTTATTCTTTATGAATTTTGAAATAGTTAAGATGAGGTTTACGCTGACTTAAAGAATTACGTCCAAGGGTCCAAGTGTTCCCTTCTGCGGGGTCGCATGTTGGAAAAGCTGGTGCGCAGAGGAAAAAGGCCAAGTCAACTCGACTGAAAGTGTTATTTTGATCAGGTAATGTGCGTAGACGTCTCCCAAATGTTAAAAAGGGTTTAGATGTAAAAGATAAAAGGGAAAGGTGCTTGAAGCATTAAAATGAATTTTTGAGTTTAACTGGAGTATATTTTATATTACACACATAAGACTTTTACATTTGTAAACCACATGTCTGTACGTGTGTGAGCATCAGGTGTGTGGGGGGATTCACTGCAGTCTGTGTTGGTCATTTTCATTATCTTTACCACCGGAGCTAGGTGTCAAAATATAATACCTACAAGTCAAAATGTATAAAGAATAGTTCAGTTATTTGAATGTGTTTCTGAGGCTGATTACTCCACTGTATTGTCTGATTATTGGAAAAGCAGCTTGCACGCACTAGTGGTAAATCAAATGTGCTTTTATTCAGGAAAAGCTGTAGGATGAAACACTGCTCGAGAAGGTTGGATTAATATTAATGACACCAAACCATATTTGCTTACTGTAGTGTAGGTTAGCATTAGCCTGCATGGGGAAATTCTGTATCCTCGTCCCTGTGTGTGTGTGTGTGTGTGTGTGTGTGTGTGCGTGTGTGCGTGTGCGCGTCTGCGCCTGCTCGGACATTTTAAAGCTAAACCCTTGTCTGCTGTGTGAGGCGAGTCTGCCTGTGCTTCCTGTTTGCTTCAGCTCATTGGCACTTTAAAATTTTACATGTTAGTCGCTTGAGGTTTGGAAGAACACCCGTGGTAATGTACACAGCAGTACTATGTGCTAATTGCGTGAAGGGAATAAAATGTTAAGATATTTCTAGCAAGGTGTCACCCCAGTAACCAAAGGACAGAAGAAGAAGCACCGTGAAACTGGCCATTTCGTTATTTTCATATGTTCCAACTTTAAATGTCTTGTGAGTCTAATCATTTGAGGTTATACGCATGTGTTTTCAGCGTGTTGTCCTATTGGAAAATAAGCTTGAATAAGGGAATCTGACTAAAAATAACATTTGTGTCACCTTCTAATGGACATGCAAACACCACTAAAGAGTCTCTCCTGATGGCTAAATCATTCTTTGTTTTATTGTTACAAATCCATTTGGAGGATGTTATTATTTTGAGTATCGTGTGTGTTTTGTACTCATGTGACACTTTTATTAGGAAATAAGTATTTCAGTGATTACTGCAACACGATAGCAGGATGCCAATATTAGGCAGGTGTTTTAATTTGTTTTTATATCCGAAAAGTTGGGCCAAGACTGGCCTTCAGTCCATTTCAAAACAGTAACTTTATATTGTGTTTTTGCCATTTCAGTATTTATTTCCTTTGTTATGGAGCCTATCTTGGTTCAGAATGTAACTTTCTACATGAGCAAAATATAATAGGAGGCTATTGTAAAACAAAATAGTCCAATGAGTTTACATGATTGTTAATAATGGTTAAATAAAAGAACTTGATGTAATCATGTTGGAGATTTTTGACAAACCATGAGATCAAAGTGTGCAAAACAATAACTTTGTTTTTGAACAACACATCCATGTACTAAGCTATGCATGGTTTTTTTAAGAGAACACTGCTATGTTTTCAGCTAAATCTCTGTTTATTGCCACCGTTTTGGGTGGGGTGGATGCATATGTGTGTTTGTGTGTACAGTACATGTGTAAATGTAAGAGTTTGAACACAAGACACATTTGTCAATGTGTGTTTGATTTTGCAAATGTCAGTGTATGTGTGCTCACTGTATGTCCATCTGTAATAACCCAGTGACATTTACCTGTTGTACTGGGCTTCTCCGGACCACATGACGGTGGTCCGTCCTTGTCAATGTTTGCTAAAATGGCATCATAGCCTTACAGTATTTTTAACAATCTATTAAACTCAGTTTCATGGAGAAGTTTCTGTTATCATGTGTGTCATTTTTATTAAATTAATTTTTTGAATCTTTTTTGAAGATTATGGAACTGTATAGAGGACTAATTTCAAATTATCATGCAAACTTGAAAAAGAAAATGTAATTCTACAATAACATTACAAACCATACCACAAATGTATGTGTTATTTAGGTAAAAATGAAAATGCAATCCAGTCACATACTTGTGTGAGCATTCTATTTTTTAAACTATAGGCTATTTCTGCAAAACTACACACTAACCACAAAACCTTACAACAAAAAAACCCCCAAAACAATCCACACATCTCTTGCAAAAGCAAACAATTCTTGTAAAAGTCTTCAAAGTCTTTTAAAAGTTGTGTTTTCGCATCAATGCAGTACACACAAATGTCACAAATGTAAGCACACTGTTAAGTCTGCAGCCCTGTGAGTCTCTCTTCCCCCCTCCTTGTGTGTGTCTGCCATTTGCACAGGAGTCGAGCCCCAGCTGCTCTTCATCATCTAGCCCACCTATATATACCCGGTCATCCCTGCAACTCATTGCCAGATTGTAGTCTAAAACTGCGCCGTCAGGCCGTCAGGTGTTACTGAACCTTGCCCAACACTGTTTTTGTGACTCCCCGCTGGAAACTGACTCCTGTCAGTTACTCCTTACCTCTCCTGCCTCCGTATGCTGAGTCTTGCATCTGAGTCCTACTGACAAACCCTAACACACACGAAGCAGCAACTACACACTGATAGTATGAATGAACATTTGTGGCGTTTTCTGTGTGTTTCAAGTTTTGTCATGCATGTACTACAGTAAAACCCACATACACATGGGTGTCCAAATGTGTGAAGTATGGATGTGTGTTCCTCACTTGTTTTACACAAATAAAGTTTATTTTGAAATGGACTCTGTACAGTGGCTGCCGGCTTCATCCAACGCAGAGAGACTCTGTTGGATGTTTTCTGTTATCTGCCAGTATGATGCAATGACCATATTTACAATGTGGGTCTCCAGCTCTGGGGTGAACAATCGACCTGTTCCACAAAATATGGGTTTTCTTGCAATTGTGTGAAAAAAACATTTGTTTTTTCAGTGGTGACAGATCCTTGTCATTACAGTACATATTACTAACCCAGTACTCATTTCAAAATAACCATTTCATCAGTTATGTTCCTGACTCCCCTACCTCTTCCTCTTTCTGGTCCATTTCTTCTACCCCCACTTTATTTCATCCTCTCCTCCTATTCTTTCTTCACCTCCTTGTCTATGTCCTCCTCTTCCTCCTCTTATTCTCACCCCTCTAAAGCCTCCATTGTTACCCAAACCAAATGTTTACTGCTGGCCTATTTACAGTACGTGTAGTGCTCAGGCTCTGAATGGTATGTAAACTAATAATTAAGTGTTTTCACATGTGTCAATGTGGAATGCCAATTGGCAACATAGTGGTGCAAAATATAGTAATGTTTATAGTTTTGATACAAGTGTGTTATTGAATTGCAAACTGTTTAAAGCAGTCAGTTGTGTTTCAAGGTTTGCAAAGTGTATGTTATAAAATTACAAACTGCAAAGTGTAAAGCAGAGAACACACATTCAGTTTGGCAAACTGAAATAGCACTTTCTAGAATAACTGTTTAATTCAGAAAAAAAACTATAAATATTAAAGCCAAGTTTTCAGGGCCTTTAGGTGACAAAGACCATGACCCTAAACTGATGAAATTTGAATTTAAATATTGACATACAAACACTGACATAAGAAGCAAAACTTCAACACTTATCCTTTTGCTTTTTTCATTACATCTTCTGTAACTGTTGACTGCGTGAATGTGCCCGCCATGTGCTTGTCTGCAGGAATATTTCAGTGATTCACTAAATTATAATCCAGCCCACTACTTATTGCATCCATTAACAAGGTCAAATGACAAACACTTCATTTGGAATTCAAGTTTTATTAAGCAGTTAAAGACATTTCAATGTCCACAAAATGGAGTCCTTTAAAATATTTTACCCATATTACCACCAGATGTCGCTATGTGTTTAATTTCCAAAATAAGATGAAGTGTCCTCTCAGCTCCACAGCGGTCATATTCAAATATGATTTTCATCTCCGGTAACAAAAGACATGATGACTTGTATCGTGTCAGCGGCAACACTGAAGACCGAGCTTTTATTAAACTGCATTTTGTTCCATCATCTTGCACACAGCTTATGTCAACTCCGCATGTGATTTTTAGGCGGAAGAACAAACAAACAAAATAGCAGAATGTAAAAACTGTTGATCCACTCAGTTTTCAAATTATATCCTCAAGATGAGGTAAAACATCATGTTTTCCTACTCAGGTACACTCATCTGTGCTTTTGTTCATGTGCTCTTTTCATTTAGGCAGTAGTAGGCTGTGCTGTTCAATGCTTCTATAGGATGCAGCATCACCACACATAACGATTTCCATGAAATGACATCACAGCGTAAAGCCCACCGCCCACCTCCATCTCTCTCTTTGTCCCTGTGCCCACCTCATCCACTCCTCTTCCCTATAAGCCGTGAGGGGGCTGACAGCGAGGTCTGCACACACATACAGAGAGGTTTCTGACGTCACAGAGTGTATTGTTGCCCAGACAGGGGATTCTTGAGACTGTGACTTGCCAGATTTGTGCTGCATTACAGCTAAAATGCTGCAAAAGTGATAACCGTCTGTGTCAAAGCTGCTGTATCAAGTCACAGTCTCAAGAATCAGATAAATAAATGTTTAGTCATGATGTTGAGTGAGATTTGACTCATTGAGTGAGATTTTGACTCATTTCATGGTGACAAAAAAAATGCTAAATACTGTCTAAACTGCACTGCATAAACTTCATTGAGCACAATAATAATTATAATGAAAAACATTACCTTTATAGTACTTTTCATACACAAAATGCAGGTCAGCGTGCTTTACAACTGCATTTCAAACATTTAAAATGTTAAAATACATTAAAAACTCTTTCTGCCCCAGGCAAAAACTGTTTTTTTGTACTACATCCATTTCTCAGCCTCTCAAAGACTCTTATTAGCTTAAAATATGGATGTATTATAAATTTCCTTTTTCATATGAAGATATATTTGATGTCAATAATTACATTCAAGATTTATGATGGATTTTTACGAGTAGAATTTAGGTTTGCCCAGAATAAATTGTTACAAAATGCATTACATCAGAATTCTGAGGTTGTCAAATATGAGTGCTTATTACTGAACAGTTATCCAACTGATCCGTGGCAGGTTTTTGGTGAAACTGGCAGGCTTAAGCAGATAGAAGAGTGCACTCAGTAGAGCGCCATGCGTGTCTGGGGGCATGTCGGTGGGAATGCAACATTTTTAACAAGGTCATTTGTGTAGTATGGTGTCAGTTTCCTTTAAGATGCATTTAGGATAATGGTATTGTAACTGAGCATCCTGGGTTCACCTAACTGTATAAATTTAATAAGGAAACAATAAATCCTTACACCTGGTTGCGTTAATAAACTTTTCAGTGAGCTCTTTATAGCCTCCTCTACCATTAAGTAGAATGGGACACAATTAAACTTTGTTGCTCACATGTTGACTGGATTATCATAATAACACACAGGGAGGGGTTACAAGAAAGCAAGATAGCTCATTTTGCTGTTGATATGCTAATTGACAGTGGGATAGAGTAATCGGTTCCTCTGGGACTGACTAATGGAAGTCATTACCGCGTCAAGGCCATCTCTTGACGTGCTTTGTTCTCTGTTATTTATCAGTGATCTTTGAAAATCTTCACCAAAAGCCAGGAGGTCCCTTTTTGTGTTCTTCCTTAGATTCATGAAACATTTTCAGCGAAAAGAAAGGAAGAGAAGATGGACAAAGTCACTGCTTTTAAAACACAATTTTCTCCTCTGCGTAACACCTTCATAACACGTTGTATCCTCATGAAATGCATCCTTATGAAAGCTTTCCTGAGGCGCAGTCCATAGGTGTGATAGCTGTAGGTGCCTGTGGTATGTCAACATAGCGGTGGAGCGGAGTGTTGATTTATTTGGGAGACATTTCAAAATTAGAGTCATTCTTGGCTTGTGGTGAAGAGGGCCAGGCGAAAGCAAAGTGAGGAAGGTGAGAAATCCAAGAAGTCTATAAAATCAGGGGAGAGAGAAGGGAGGAAGTCAACAGAGAGAGACAGGAAAGAGGAGAGGCTCAACAGATGACACTGGAGGGAAAAATATGGCAGTGGCGAGGAGAGAGGGGAAGAGATGCATCTGCTACACACTATCAGCACTCCCACCCTGTACGGAGTTCAACTGAAAGGCTATATAAACAAGATGAGATGTGTGTGTATGTGTCTGCATCAGAACACTTGTAGTGTGTGTGTGGGAGAGTTTTTTATATTTCTTTCTGTGGAGAGAGACAGCACTCAAACATTTGATCATCAGCAGGCAATGCTTTGAGGTTCCTCTACTATCGTCAGGGCTGTGACATCTGCCTGGATTTTGCATTTGAGCGCGTGTTGGTACAGGATCCTCTTCCGTTCATTCCAAGCAACACCTGATGCTGCTGCCAGAAATGTAAAATCAATCTCTTACTCTCTGCCAGATAAATTCTCTCAGTAGAAACTGACCTGACGGACCTGTTCTTCACAGGATGAGGAAAGACCTCGAGCAACAAAATGAGAGAACTACTAAATGCTACTACTAAATACACATGCAGTTGCTTATTCATGTGTTGGCTACATGAGAACACACACATCCCACACATAAACTGACACACTTTTTCATCACAGTAGGCTTTTTCTCCTGTGTGTTCATTCCCAGGCAGCCCTCTGCTGTTTGTTGTGGATACAGCAGGTTCAACACCACACAGCCACTGTTCCATCAACAGAGCAAAGTTTTTTAATCGCAGAAGTATATCAGGCAATAAAAATCTTTGATATGGAGAGAGAAAACAAGCAGAAGGGGAGTTTAAAAAAGATTCAGTCTTCAAGAAATAAACCCTTCCATATGTCTTAAGATAGCTGCTTCCTTGAAT